CGTTGCAGGTGACTGGTGGCAAGCACTATCCTGTGGAGGGCGGCTCTGAATTACTGCAGGGTAGAGTCAGGTGGGTATTTTGTGTTTACAGCTGAGAGTTGCCCAGTCTTACCCCACACAGACACAGCCCACTGCAGACAATGAGGCAGACGAGACTAAAAAGTGCCTTGAGCCGCAGCAAGAGCTTCCTCTCACAGGCTATGTCTAGACTGCAGGCTTCTTTCGAAAGAGGCTCTTTCTAAAGCATCTTTCGAAAGAGCCTCTTTCGAAAGATCGCGTCTAGACTGCAGGCGGATCTTTCGAAAGAGAAATCCGCTTTTTCGAAAGAGAGCACCCAGCGAGTCTGGATGCTCTCTTTCGAAGACGGCCTCTTTACATTGAAGAACGCCTTCTTTCAAAAGAGGAACTTTCGAAAGAAGGCGTTCTTCCTCGTGAAACGAGGTTTACCGCCATCGAAAGAAAAGCCGCGTTCTTTCGAAATAATTTATTCCTTTCCAGAAAATATTGCATTCTCCTTCCTCCACTCTTTCTCTCCAGCCTCCTGAATGCTGAGTAAGAGCTGAGTGCTGCAGCAGTAGCCAGATATTAGGAAGGGGATGCTGCCACTCTTCCTCACCTACCCCCACTTACAGGTTGTGTAATTCTACCATATAAAGTCACTGGTTTTCTAGAGAATCCTGCAAGCAGTGCATTTCCAGAAAATATTGCATTCTCCTTCCTCCACTCTTTCTCTCCAGCCTCCTGAATGCTGAGTAAGAGCTGAGTGCTGCAGCAGTAGCCAGATATTAGGAAGGGGATGCTGCCACTCTTCCTCACCTACCCCCACTTACAGGTTGTGTAATTCTACCATATAAAGTCACTGGTTTTCTAGAGAATCCTGCAAGCAGTGCACAGAGCAACAACATTTATAAAGAAGCATTGAAAACTTTAAATGAGCATGTTCTCTAATGGAACATGGACATAACAGTAGAACAATGCTAATCAGGAAGATGTTAAGTAAGGAGTTACTGTAGTTGCAATCTTGAGAGAGAAAAGGAGATGTCTAGGTAGTAAGGCACTATTATTTATATGATGAGATCACAAAAACCACACTTGCAGTTGGTACCCTTGATGATCTGAGAAACCATTGATTAAGTAGGCTTGGAAACTACAGCTATGTTTTTATCCCCTAAAGTGTCTTGAGTTGCGCTGCTAAAGTTGTTAATCTGATCTTCCAACAGCAATTACAAATTGTTGAAAAAGAACACATCCTTGGCATTTTTTAAAAATAATGCTTCTTGTCATTTCTTAAAATTATATCATGCAGCCCATATTCTGCTACTCTTAATCCTGCAGTGAAGTCCCAACAGTGAGTGTGCTAGAAACTTCTGTAGTGGTGGATTGTGGTGTCACAAACACAAGGTAATAAATTACTGCAGAATAAAACCACTTATCTTCAGGACAAAACAAAACAACCCCCCCCCGAATTTAGAAGCATTTTAATTTAGAAGCTTAAAACCAAAATCCTAACAAAAACAGGCCACTTCTCCTCTATAGAGCAATTTGTCAAGAGTATTTAAATCATCAGGTATTCTCAGTTAGAACAGCGAAGGCTTAGTTGAATTTTCTCCAAACCAATGGAATTACGTATCACACCAGTAGTTCTCATTTGGGGCCAAAGTGTCCCTGATTAAGGCATAGAAGGAAGGAAAAAGGCAAAAAGCATGCAAAAGGTCCAAGGGGCTACAGAGACTGCTCTTTTTGTCTGCTCCTGGGATACATCTGGCCCCAAAATGAGCACTGCTCTCCCCCACCTCTTTGTACTCCTCTCACTTGACTGAGAGTGGCCTGGGCAAAGAGGCTTGGGAGGAATAGGCTCTTTTTGACAAGTTCAGCATTATGTACTATAATTACTTGAGATGCACTGGAGAGAGAGAATTCTCAAAACTGAAAGTGTAGGAACGCTTTGTGTAACTAGTTCATATACTTTTTTGCATCGAGTTTTGCAGAGTTATGGCAAATTTATATTGCATTACAACTGTAATGTACAATTGAAAATCACTACTGTTGTACCCTAAAGTTTCTGCTGCTCCAGGCAGCAGATTTGAAGTATTTCATATGAAAAGTTTGTCATCTTCATACAATAACTAATTACTTTCTCTTAATCATTTTCATGTCCTGTTGGCTCTTTTCAGTTTGTGTGTTCACTTTTTCTCTTGAAAAATAATTTACTTCAGTTTTCTATTACTAATGCATGTATTGGGTTCACTTTGTTCTCATTTTGCGTATTTATTGAAATCACATTTTTCCTGCATCTTGAAGAAGGAATTAATTTCTATTTTCAATAATGACTAGAATAATATCTTAAATTATTTCTATAACAGCTTTAACATATAGGCAATTAATGTTTAAAGCTATTTTTCATTTATCTCTGTACAGTATCCATTAAACAGTTATTTTACAATTTTTTATTACAACTAAACATAATATATTATGACAATGAAGAACTGTTTATATTAGACTTCAGAGGTAGAAAAGGCCTGTGAGATCATCTAGCCAGCCTATCCCTTCTCCATAGGAAACTCTTGCAATTTTCTTCAAACATTTACAGATACACAGAAATAATTTTTTTCTACTAGTAATAGAACAAATGTTTATGGAAAGTTATATATGTAATATCCTAATCTCTTTCTTCATTGTTAGACACCTAAATCTATATTTGGGCACCTAAATAAATGATCTGATCATGAGAAGTGTGGAGCACCTGTAGTTCTTATTGAAGTAATAGAAGCTGGGGGTAATGGAATCTCTGGAAAATCAGGGTCCTGATCCTCAGTCAAGAAGTGCAGTCCCTTTGCATAGGCGCACAAAGGGGCCATAAAACTAGTGAATTGTAGCCAGATAAGAAACCCCAATGGTAAGGTTGAATTCCTGAGTGTGAGAGCGTTCCTTAAATCACCACCCTTAAGTCATAGCCCCCATCTGAGGGATGTAAATGTAGCATTGCTGTACTCCAGATATTCCCAGCTGCCAGAATAGATGGGCCACAGGCAAATTTAGGTCAGGCCCGAGGCTACGCTTGTGGCTGGCGCCAGCTAGTTGCAACAACTTTTATACCCACCCTTTCTGCACTGACTTTTTGGCCACATCACAGAACTGGAATGCAGATCACTTTCTTAGGGCATGTCTTCACAACAGACTAGACCAACAGGACACAACTAGACCATCAGGGGTTGATCTATCATGTCTAGTATAGACATGATAAATCGGCCACTGATTGCTCTCCTGTCGACTCTGGTACTCCACCAGAATGAGAAGCGAAAGGGAAGTCAATGGGAGAGTGTCTCCTCTTGCCCCACCACAGTGAAGACTCCATGGTAAATAGATCTAAGTACGTTAATTTCAGCTACATTATTCATGTAGCTGAAGTAGTGTACCCTAGATCGATATCCCTTCAATAGTGTAGCTATGCCCTTGGTTTTTTAACATTGGCACCCAAGCTAGAAAGTGTTTGCTATATGTATATAAGAAATTATAAAATTTAGCATTTTGCTTCTGTATTTTGTATAGCAGTATTTTCATGCTAACTTTCAGATAATGTAATGAATTGCCAATGTTACAAATCAACACTTCATTTGATTTAACATTTTATAAATAAGTAAGTTTAGATATAATGGTATTTTATGGTAAACATATGCCCTTTAAAGTTAAATTTTTGGTATCAGATTGTTTCCATCCTAACATCACGTGACCTTAAGGTTGCTTTCAAATCTTTGATTCTGATTTTTAGACACTATCCAGCACATAAAGGACAGCAGACACATTGTTGTGTATCATAAGGGCCGTTATTTCAAAGTCTGTCTCTATCACGATGGTAGACTATTGAAAGCTCGGGAAATTGAACAGCAGATGCAAAGAATTCTGGATGACAGTTCACAACCTCAGCCTGGAGAAGAGAAGTTAGCAGCTCTTACTGCAGGAGATAGGTATGATTTTTTGTAATCTGTAACTTTGCTAATATTTGAAGACAGTTATTTAAAGGTGCTGGGCCCAGTGCCATCTCTGAACCTTATTGTCTGTGGTTAATTATTCCCAATCTGTGCTCTTGTCAATCACTGTAATGTGAAACAACTGTTGAACCTTTTCTGGTTTTACTTAAAGTAACGTAGCAGTGACCAGTCACCTTCTACCTATTTGAAGTTTGAGAATATTGCTTTAATTATGAAATAAAAGTGAATCATAGAATACTAGGACTGGAAGGGATCTCGAGAGTTCATTGAGTCCAGTTCCCTGCCCTCCTGGCAGGACCAAATACTGTCTAGACCATCCCTGATAGACATTTATCTAACCTACTCTTAAATATCTCCAGAGATGGGGATTCCACAACCTCCCTGGGCAATTTATTCCAGTATGAATCAGTAATTGTTTAATTGAGCAATATTTGATAGCTTATGAACTTTTATATAAATCTGTTTTGATGTGACATTAGCATATTTAATTAGATAGATAGAAAGAAAGAAAATCTTAAAACCAGGACTGTCAGATTCTGCTGATTATACGAGTATAAATCTAAAATATCCCTTTGACTTTGGAGTTACTCCAACCAAATTTAAGAATGTCTAATTGAGAAAGAATTTGATTGACTGGACTGAACTTATTCATGTTATAACTTCGCTGAAGTCAGTAGCCTTACACCAAAGATCAGTTTGTCCTCTTGTTTCTGGTAGGCTTGGAAAACATATGCCTGAAAGATTGATGATTCTTTATTTTAGAGAATTTTCTCTAGAGGTTTCCTCTGCACTACAGCCTTAGTTGAAAGTCAGATGGTTTTTAGCTCAAGCAGTAGTGGCTCATGAACTAAGTTCCAGAGGTCCCAGGTTCAGTTCAGTTCTGTCGGCATTACATGCAGTCTTATAATAAATTAATATTAAATTATACACCCTCTTACACAGATTTACTTATTTGACTCCAAAAATCTAGCCACCTGCATACAAGAGAAAGGGGTTACAATTTTTGCACTCAGACATCAGATACTATCTTTGTTAGCTAAAATCTCAGACATAATTAGGGCTCTACTAACTTTCATGGTCCATTTTGGTCAATTTCACAGTCACAGAATTTTAAAATGGTAAATTTCATGATTTACCATGTTTAAATCTGAAATGTCATGGTGTTGTAATTGTAGGGGCCCTTACCCAACAAGGAATTCTGTGGGACGTTGCAAGTTTATTGCATAGGAGTTGTGGTATTGGTACCCCTGCTTCTGTGCAGCTGCTTGCAGCAGCATTGCCTTCAGAGCTGGATAGCTGGAGAGCAGTGTCTGCCAGCATCTGTGCAGTAGCAAGGATGGCATGGCATGGTATGGTATTGCAGGTAGCAGTGCAGAAGTAAGGGTGGCAATATCATGCCATGCCATCTTGCCTTCTGCACTGCTTTTGGCAGTAATTCTGCCTTCAGAGCTAGATTCCTGGCAGGCAGATACTACTCTCTACCTAACTAGCTCTGAAGGCAATGCTGCTGCCAGCAGCTATGCAGAAGGAAGGATGGTATTGTCACCTTATTTCTGTACTGGTGCCTACAGAGCTGGGCGCTTAGTCATCAGCCACCACTGTCTGGCCACCCGGCTCTGAAAGCAGCAGTATAGAAGCAAGGGCCACGTGAGTACAGCCGGTCCCCAAGTTACAAATGGTCGATTTACGACCGTTCGCATTTATGACCAAACCTCCCATTAAGCAGTCGTAAAGGTGGTCCCCGAGATACAAACGCGACCCGTGCTTACAAACAGCGCAGTTGCAATGTAACTCAATGGGGTCCCACTTACGAATATTTAGAGTTATGGCCAAGTATTTGGTCCGTAACCCGTTCATAACTTGGGGACCGGTTGTATGATATTGTAACCTTTACTTCTGTGCTGCCCTCAGAGCTGGGCCACATGGTCAAAATTAGTTATGTAAAATGCCATTTAACTGCTTAAATGTTAGGTTTAACTGGTTAACCCAGTAAGCAAGATCCTGGGGGCTTGGGACCACTCTAGCCTACCTGGAGCAGCCCACTCCTGGCCCCGTGGGGCTGCTATTCCTGCCAGCCAGCCCTGCAGGGCTGGAGTACTGGTTAACAGGTTACTTACTGGTAAGCATCACCTAGTCACCAGTTAACTGGTTACCTGTTCACATCCGTAGTTAACATTACAACCACCACTTTCCTTTTACCTAGCTCTGAAGGCAGCACAAATTGTATCGACTACACGATTAGCCAGATAACTGCAATTTAACATCCTTAATCTCTCCAGGTTATTACACTCATCTCCTTTGTCATAGTATTTGAGCACCTACAGTGTTTTTGTGACCTTTTAAATCTAATTTCTAGTGTGTGTGTGTGTGTGTTTGTGTCTTTCCATAGATGTGCATCAAGAAGTTGTGTTTTGTTAGGCTCTAAGAGTGCATGGTGTATAGTGTGCATTTTGTATACCAGAGTTATGTTTAATTCCGGAAAACCAACTTTCCTGCCTGTGTACTACTTGGAGTTGGCCTTTGACAGTCCCATGACTCTGATTCAATAATATCTGTAGTGATGTCCTCACGTGTCACTGCTAGTACAGATTCATTAGGCACAAGGTGAAATCTGAAGAACATTTAGCTCTCTTACAATATAAGATTGCTTTATAGCTGTGGTGTCCAACATGCTAGCCACTAGCCACATGTGGCTATTTGGCCAGTTGAGTGTGGCTAGTTAGCTTTAACAATGTGGCTATTTAGCCAGTTAGAACACCATAGAGGGGCTTGATGCTGGGGATAGAAACAGCATAGCCATTGG